GTCCCTGCGGCTGCCGCTGGGATCACAGCAGCTCCAGGCGGGAATCCTCCTCCTCGCCGCTCCGTGGTATCATCCGCCTCTTGTGAGAGAGACTGACGCGGTGAAAAGGGGCTAAAATCGGGTTTTTCCTGTCTTTTTTTTTTCTTCAGGAGTTTGTGGGGAGAGGAATCCGACCCTGCCGCCTTTGGGGAATGGCTGCTTATGCCTGAGACGCCCCCAGACTGATAAACTGGTCCCCGAGAAGCCTCTGTAGCCAGGGGTGCCAAATTACACTCTCGTTGGCCACATGTGAGAATACCGGAGACTGCCGCACAGCTCTCCGCACAATTTCATACCCGAGGTTTTTCCAGCGCGTTTGCTATTTTGCACACCCCGAATCAAACCGCACCGAAAAGGAGCCCAGGGAGCGGGGCGCGGAGCAGCGCGGGAGCCCTGCGGGGTGCGGGAGCCCCGCGCTCGGCTTCCCGCCGCTCCCGTTCCGCGCTGGGAGCCGCGCGGTGCCGCTCCCGCTCCCGGGAAGCCCCGCGCGGGGGGCTGCAGCCGCCTCCGGCTGCTCGGGGCTCCTGGCTCCGGGAGCTGCTCCCTCCGGGTCCTTCCCCGGAGCCTTCGCCTGCTCCCTTCTCCTCCCACCGCATCCCAGGCCGACCATGACTCATTTAAAATACGCTACAGCAAAGCTACCCAGCGAGACAGTTATTAAACATCAGTATTTTCATCAGCACCTCTGGTGGAGCATGATTTTCGGGGGAAATTAATCTCAATTTTCAAATGCTCCTGGAGACAGGACAATGCAAACTAAGCCAGCTGCAGCATTAAAGGTTGGGTTTTTTTTTTTTTTAAGGTACTAGGGATGCTGAGGTGGAAGCACTCCTGTGTCTCAGCTGCAATCAACCACCTTCCAAAAGGATGTTTTGATTAATGAGGTGCGTAATGCCTGAAACTGGTGCAGCTTCTTAACTACAGTCCCTAGCGCTCCCGGAGAATGACGGAGCAATAAAGGACGTGCTCAAGGAATCAGGCTGCTCTTCTTACAGCTGCAGGCTTCCTGGCTGGCGCTGGGAAAATCCCCCCGCTCTGCATCTCCTCGGCTGCCTGCGGATGTTCTGCGAGCGCTGCCTTGCTTGGCCACACAGGCGGTGTTTCCTAAAAGGAAAGACTCATCAGCACACGGCCGTTCTGGCCACGATTTAGGGCGTTTTAGAGACGCTGCAGCTGTAGGAGGCCTCAGCCTTGGCACCATGGACAGCGCGGGGCCTTCGCGGAGCGTTCGGAGCATTCACCTGCCAAGGAAACGGAGGGCAGGTTTGGAGGGAGATATTTTATTTTTTAACAATATTTATTAGACGCCGCTGCAAGGTTTGGCAGAGATGCAAAGAAAATGGATTTTGTAGGGAGGATGCAGGTGAGGCAGCCAAAGCTTCATTTGTTTATTAAGGGGCTTTGCCAGCTGGTCACAGAGACAGCACCTCTGTGTGTATAGACATATGTAATGTTATTTTAATGAAAATTAATACAAACTGAGAGCTGCAAGGCAGACGTGAAAAATCACATTCCTGGCGAATGTGCAGAACTCTCTGCACACCAGCCTGTCAGGATCACTTCTGTTGGCTTGGGAACTTCATAGCGCTCATCCATGAACTCCTGGATGCTCCGACAGCAGCAGAGTCCATAGACATAGGTAGAGACTGGAGGAACTGGACAAAGGCCTCTGAAGGCTGTGTGTTTTTCCTAGCAGGCAGCTACCAACCCGTAAACAGCATTTTAAAATCCATGGAATATTAAACACTAAAAAACAGGGAAATTTTATCCCAGGGCTTTGGTGATAGAGACTTCACTCTCTGCCTTGCAGCTTATACCATACCTAGAATAAAGAATAATCACCCTAAACACATAAATCCTCCTCCCCTCGCCTCTGCTAACCAAAGGAGCTGTCCCACTTCTGCTGCAAACACACCCGGCACAATCCCACCCCTTGGAAGCATGGGCATATTTTGTCTAGCACACCTATTTCCAGGCCATTGGCAGGGATCTTCTTGTTACTGAGAAACAGCTTAGCCAGTGGGCTACAAACTAGGAAATGTTAGAAAAAAAATCATTCATGTTGGTATCTATGGAAATCAGACACAGAGTATGCAGAAAATAAATCCCTGTGGTTTTCGGGAAGTTTGGTCTTTTTGTAAAAGGTGGCAATTCTCGCTGGAGCAAGTAGCTGCGATTCAGAGCTGGAAACAGAATAAATAGCCAGAGCATCCACCCTAGTGGTGTACACCACGTGGGGCCAGGTAACCGGGTATGTGAG